GCAAGAACCTTGGGGATGAACACAGAAACTCATACCATGGTGGGAGAGAGGACTGCTCTGCAGTTTTCAGGCTGGCATCTCAGCAGCCCATTTTTTGGACTGTTTGAGAGCAATTGCCATAAAGTGAATTTACTCTTTTCATAAAGTCCATCAGAGCACCAGGGGTATGAAGTCTTCCACAGAAATGCAAAATACAGAGCTAACCACCAACCGCGAAGCAGAGGAAGTGCAGTCATGTGCTCAGGCTCTAGGTCTCCATGGAGACACCCTTCTGTCTACATCCTTATTTATCATCTGGGTCTCTAGTCACTTTGTAACCACAAGAGAAAGAAGGAGTCATGGATTCAACTTGTACTGGCTGCAGAGACAACCACATATACTTTTATGTACTCCTTGGCTCACACTGTGAGCAGCGCTATCCACTGCTACCACAAAGTGAGACTAGGAAATCTGAGAAAAGAAGGAGACTTACATTTGCCTGCTTGAAAATGGAAAGGCCCTCCATCATCCTTGTCTAGAAAGACTAAGATTCTCTCCCTCATTGCTCCCGGTTGCCAGGACTGCCCTCATCCTTTACAGCCCCTCCAACCCTCCAGGGCAGAAACTCCCATGCCCGACACAAGCCCATGCCAGACTTCTTAGAGGATTCTTTTTTTTTCTTTTTGAGATGGATTCTTGCTCTGTAGCCCAGGCTGGAGTGCAGTGTCGCCATCTCGGCTCACTGCAACCTCTGCCTCCTGAGTTCAAGCGATTTTCCTGCCTCCCGAGTAGCTGGGACTACAGGTGTATGCCACCATACCTGGGTAATTTTTGTAGTTTTAGTAGAGACGGTTTTCACCATGTTAGCCAGGCTGGTCTCAGACTCCTGACCTCAGGCAATCAGTCCATCTTGGTGCCTCCCAAAGTGCTGTGAGCCACCGTGCCCAGTCAGGATTCATTTTTTAAGTAAGAAGGACATCTAGCCATTTTTCTCCCATGTGTACAATGTAAATTTTTGTTTTTAATTTTAAGTTCAGGGGTACTTGTGCAGGTTTGTTATACAGGTAAACTGTGTCACTGGGGGTTTGTTTTACAGATTATTTAGTCACCCAAGTATTAAGCCTAGTACTCATTAGCTATTTTTCCTGATCCTCTCCCTCCTCCAACCCTCCACCCTCCATTAGGCCCCAGTGAGTGTTATTCCTCTCTATGTGTCCTTGTGTCCTCATTATTTAGCTCCTGCTTGTGAGAAGATGTAGTATTTGGTTTTCTATTCCCGTGTTAGTCTGCTAAGGATAATGACCTCTAGCTCCATCCATGTTGCTGCAAAGAACATGATCTCATTCTTTTTTATGGCTGCATAGTATTCCATGGTATATATGTACCATATTTTCTTTACTCAGTCTACATTGATGGGCATTTTGGTTGATTCTGTGTCTTTGCAATTGTGAATAGAGCTGCAATGAAGATACACATGCATGTGTCTTATAATAGAATGATTTATATTCCCTTGGGCATATACCCAGTAATGAGATTGCTGGGTTGAATGATATTTCTGTTTTTAGGTCTTTGAGGAATTGCCACACTGTCTTCCACAATGGTTGAACTAATTTATACTCCCACCAACAGTGTACAAGCATTCCCTTTTCTCTGCAACTTTACCAGCATCTGTTATTTTTTTGTACAATGTCACATTTTAAATGTTAAACATCATTTCACTCATAGGAAAAAGAAATACACTGGAGCTGACTAGCTTGAGACAGACCAGCTCTTCAGTTGTGCAACTTACACCTATCAAAAATAGCAGAAAAGTGGCTTCAGTGTTTCTGTTCTGATGGTAGGAGAAAAGGACTTGATAACATAAAAGAATCTCTTTAGGCCAGAACCAATTTTACAGATCTTTTTTTACACCTAAGTAATGCCCCACATTTCATTAAGGGTGATGGCAATGTTGTCAGTAAAGAAGTTGCTTCTCATGTAACTACACTGTCATGCAATTAAGTTCTTTTAATTTTTTCCCTCCAAATGTACTTTTTTTCTTTGTGGAGCCAATGTTAATAGTTAAAGTAGTACAGTGGTTTACAAAAGAGTCAGGATAAAAAGTTTAAAAGGAACAAAGTGGCCGGGTGCAGTGGCTCAAGCCTGTAATCCCAGCACTTTGGGAGGCCGAGACGGGCGGATCACAAGGTCAGGAGATCGAGACCATCCTGGCTAACACAGTGAAACACCGTCTCTACTAAAAAAAATATAAAAAACTAGCTGGGTGAGGTGGCGGGCACCTGCAGTCCCAGCTACTCGGGAGGCTGAGGCAGGAGAATGGCGTAAACCCGGGAGGCGGAGCTTGCAGTGAGCTGGGATCCGGCCACTGCACCTCCAGCCTGGGCGACAGAGCAAGACTCCATCTCAAAAAAAAAAAAAAAAAAAAAAAAAAGGAACAAAGTAAACACAGTATTCCTAAGACTTTCAAATACATTATCTTACAATTGTCAAAATACTCTGAACATTGTTACTCCTACTTTAGAGGGATGGATCTAGGGTCTTGCTTAGGATGATGATGATGTAACTAGTGTGTCACAGGGCTTAGATCTGTGCTCATGCCTGTTAGCTGGGTTACATAAGGTGACTGCAGCTCTGAAGCAGAAAAGCCAAGTAACTCTTTCTTCTCATCAGACCCCAAAAGATGGGGCTTGTTGCAGAGAGGTTATGAAAAGAGGCTGCTTGCTTAACGTGCCTAAGACTATCTTCATTTGTGCTGTTTTATAATCTGGGTAAAACTAGGAATGTAGAAGCAAACTTAGCCATAGTGAAGACAGGAAGAAAGGACAGTGCCTGTTACCCAACTGTGTGTATGCAACAATAATGAAGAACACCACCATTTACAATGAGTTAGCACATGAACTTCCTGGGGCTCCAGGGGGAAGTAGAAATGCAAATCCAGCCTGACCCTCAAGATTCTTCAGCAACCCTTCAGTGTTACTTCTCGCTCAACCCAACCTAATATACCACCTCCTCCTGGCCTGTTACAGATGAGAAAATCAAGGCTCAAAGATGAAGTGATCTCTAAGGTCTCAGAGTTAGCTGGTGGTAGAGGTGGGACTAGAACCTAGGTCTGCTAACTCCTACCCCTGCTCTCTTTCCAATATGCAAACATCCTGCCTGATATGTATTACAGATGATGGTGACAGAAATCACAATGGCAGCTATCACTGACTGGATGCTTACTCATGGCCAGAGACAGTATTAAGCATTTTTCATGAATGATTTCAGATAATCCTCAGAATTTCAAATCCACCAGGTAGATGAGGAAACAGAGGCTCAGAAAGATCATGCAACTTCACCAAGACCCTGCTGCAGGTAAGTAACAGAGGTGGGACTCAGCCTAGGTCTCTCTGAAGCTAAAGCTCCAGGTCTATATCAAATTACCTGTCTCTGCCCATCAGGTTTGGTGAAAATTACAGTGATTAAATAAGAACAGTTGACATATCTGCTTATTGTGACACTTTATTCCATATACTTTAGTGGCTTTACAGAAATAGATTTCAACAAAAAGGTGACCATTGATCTGCCCTTTCCTTCTTCAATGCAAATTCTTAAAGAGTTTCTCACAGAAGAGTAAAAAGTCTTATTCAGATAGTCTAAATCTGTTGATTTATGTGTTGAAGGGGAGAAAACTCATTATCCAAGCATAAATAAAATGAGCTAGTTCTTCAAATAATGAAATCAAATAATGAATTCCCAGATTTGGAAATCAAATGTGCCAGGTAATCCTTAGGTGTCTGGATGCAGAGCCTGTTCAGACTGTGATGCGTGTGGGGCAGCCGAGGAGGCTCAGGCAAGCCCTTGAGCTGTCATTATTTATCACTCTCTCCATTTGTATTTTCAGCACCCCCTTTTCTCATCTGTTGATGCTGACAATACAGTTCTTAAGAACTGGCATCTTTCAATTGCTAAGAAGAAAGTTTTGATAACAGATTGCTCAGGTGCTTGTACTTAAAAGAAACAGATAACATCTTGGGGTACCTAACATCACCTTATATAATATAAATAGTATCTCCTAATATCACTAGTAAAACAGGTTTCTCAAAGTCATCTATACTTAAACTTAGGATAACATCTTGGGGTACCCAACATCATTTAATCTCTCTAGACTATAGTTGTATTATTAGTAAAGTTAGAGGCAATTTCAGCTCCTTTTTACCTCAAAAATGCTACAGTATTACTACTCATTGGATAAAGGAATTCTAAAACAAATTTTCTTCCATTCCTCTTTTGTTCATCTGCTCCTTTTCCGTTGCTCCAGCTCCAGTTATCTCCACTCAATCTCAAACACTTTTTGTCTTCACAAATACTATCTTACTGGTCCTTGCTTTTCTTTCCCATGTCAGATGGGTAATGTGCAGATGTTGTAATAAGGTTTGAGGGTGGTACATCTCACACATGTGCATGAACACCCAATTATCACACTTACAAACTGCAAAAGGATCAGTCTTTTGCTTTTATTAGCAGCAGCAAAGCATTTTTTTCTATTCTAAGGAAATATGTGATCTTACTATGAATGAGAATACGATGCAGAGAGTACGGAATTAAGACATGTATGAGACAGGCTAAAGAGATCTAGAGCACATCCACATTATTTAATATTCTTTAGAAACTACAATGGTAATTTTTACTGAAGGGATTCTAAATAGTTGTAAAGTTAAAACTGAAGCTTCTGGAAACACCTAGATTAGAGCCACAATCATAAGCCACAAGCATGATAGCCAACGTCGCTTTACTGATGCTAACAAATGCTTTGCTTTTGTTGTGTTTTGTATTTTAAGATATGGATGTATATATTTTAAGTGTGACCAGAGAGATCTTTTTTCCTTTCATTTAGAAAGGTTATCAGGGAGAAATTCATTCTAGGAGCTTTTCCACTCTCCCAAACTTGCAATATAATAGCAGTAATTAATCAATATATACATAAATGAATGTCTCCACCAAACATTGTGACAGTAAAGAAATGTTATTTTATATTTTACCTGGGAAGAGCAGTGATTTTCCCCCATTTCTCCACACAGAATCTTCTTGGGCCGTTACTCCCTCGGAGAGAAGCAAATCCTTCGTAGGGAATGCTGGATGTGCCCGTAACAAACTGTCAACCCAAGAAAACAGAAGGAGAAGGTGAAGCCAGAGACCAACAGCCAGGAAAGGCATCACATCATTCATGGGCAGAGCTCCTGAGGAAGAGCAGGCAGGAAAGTTCTGAAGACAAAACTTCACAGGTGTGGAATAATCACAACACAATTCTGACACAGAGCTGGAAGAGAATACTAAGAAAGAGAATATTGTGTATGATAAAGGGAAAGGAGATGTGGACGGTTTGTAGAAAATAAAGCACCTGATGCAGCTGACCAACTCAGAAGCTCAAACCAGGCACATTTCCTACTATAGATGAATAAAGTGGGCATATCAATTAACCTGAGTCTACTTAGTATCAGTCCCTGATCAATGTCAGGTGAATTTAAAAAAGAGAATGTCTGGGCATGCAATTTTGAGGCCCAGACCCTTAATCCAAAGGAGCTAGGACCCGAAGGAGCTAAGAGTACTTGTAAGGCTCTGCCTGAGCATCCAGAGGCCTCCTTGTGTAATTGTCCTGGATGAGCATAAACACCACACAAACACATACACACACACACACACACAGACACACACACACACACACACACACACACACACAAAACAAGTTAGTTTACCCAATGTTCTTGAATGTCACTGTTTTCTCAAATTTGTGGAAAGTTAGATGAAAAAGAAGAAAGGACTGTTAATCAACTAACTGCATCCCTTTTTAAAGAATTGAAGATCATTTCTTTCTGCTGCTAGGGATGCTGGCCTGTACTTTGGGTACCCTGGGTGCTTCTTGCTGAAGGGACCAAACTGTCCTGAAGGCAGATGTTGTTACTGGGATTCTTGGACTGGACTTGACACTTCCCCAAACTCTCATGAAATGCTTTAACCTGGCTAGGGATGTTCTGAATAGCCATGGAGTCATATAACCGTGCTATCAGGAGTCTGGAAATGGTGTATCCCATATTTCCAGATAGCCATGGTATGTATTTATGGAGAATACTTAGCAGTTATTAAAAACACATACTTCCAACAATAATCATATCGATACATTGAAAAGATTAAATAATGGCATCTCACCTGTAACAACCTTAGTCGTTGTTCATTGTTGAATCTCTCCACAGCAGCCCAGAACCACCGAATTACAATATGATTGTCATGGTATCCTATCAAACCAATCACAAAAGCCCATGTTACTTTGACTCTTCTATATTAAGCCACCAAGATATGTGACAGGAAAAGTCCCCAGACATAAATCATCCTCTTGGATTCTTTCAAAGTTATCTATAATTGGCCTGGTGTGGTGGCTCATGTCTGTAATCCCAGCACTTTGGGAGGCCGAGGAAGGCGGATCACGAGGTCAGGAGATCGAGACCATCCCCATCTTGGCTAACACGATGAAACCCCGTCCCTACTTAAAAAATACAAAAAATTAGCCAGGCGTGGTGGCGGACGCCTATAGTCCCAGCTACTCGGGAGGTTGAGGCAGGAGCATGGCGTGAACCCAGGAGGTGGAGCTTGCAGTAAGGCGAGATTGCACCACTGCACTCCAGCCTGGGCGACAGAGCAAGACTCCCCCTCAAAAAACAAAACGAAAACAAAAACAAAAGTTGTCTCTAACTTTAAGACTAACGAATAACACTGTATATATGATCATATGAGTGTCAAAAGTTAAACCAAACAACACTAAGTGAAACCAAGAGGTCTTTGTTTTCATTTAGTGGTCACTAAGTGAAACTGGTAAAGAGAAGAACAACAAATGAGTTATTTTAACCGTAACATTTCTGTAAAATACAACAGTTGTTACTGGAAATACTTAACTCTTTCGGTCATTCACATAAGAAATAATTTTCAAATACCTCTATGCCAAGCACTGTACTAAGGTTGGGGGCATAATGGCAAAGAAAACAGACCCTTCCAGGGCTTCTGGCAGAGGGGAGACACATTAATCAAATAATTCATACAAACAAGTACATAACTGCAAGCTCTCTTAAAAGCTATATATAATATTCATATTTTAAAATCAAACTAGTTTCACATTGATTTACTAATAAAAAGGGAAAAGTGACCTTTAGTTTCTTACATAAATCCTAAATAATCACCAACTTAATTTTACTTTTATTCCATACTTCAGTAGAATTTAAGAAAATGTCAAAGGAATCACCTCATGGGCAGTGGTGGTGGATTCCAAAAACTTTTCAGTGAAAAAAAAATTAAATTCAGAGAAAAGGCTAACAAGGATTTAGTGATTCAAACCAATGAATAGACAGAGTTAATGGGTACTGAGTTAGTAGTCCAGAACAGAAGGTGGGTAGAAATTATTTTAATCCAAATTTTTCCTCCCATTTCAGTAGGTGTATGATTTGGGAGGAATCTCACCTTACTGTTTACCATTTCAGTGATGTTTAGTCCCCTTTGGAGAAAAAAGGGATCAAAGGGAAGGGTGATCAAAACTGGACTGGACATGGGGACACATGGGCCATGCCCAGAGTTTGGTGAAGACTAGCAATCTGGTACTGAGCAAATAGTTTCTTATCTACAAAAGAAATGCACTGGCTCTTTGTAGCTTTAAAGATTTTTGACCTTATGAATTAGCCCTTTTCTGTTTCCCTTTTGCTATTTGTGCCAAACCTTTTGGAGGAGGAAGAGTGAATGTGTCTCATCATATTCTCTCCTAGCAGCTGGTGTGTGAACATATGGCAGGTGGCAGCCACAGAGCTGCTTCTTTACTCAGTGCCAAGTAGCTGGGTGAGCAAACATGGCAGCTGAGGGTCTCAGAATTTTCCTGCCCCCTCCCAAAGATTTCATTTGATAAGATTTACAATAGGTTCTTGATTAATCAGATTTAGTGAATAAGACTGTATACCATGGAAAAACAAAAACGGTTGATTCTATTAATGCATTGCTATTAGAATCTCCTGGGTCCAGGCGTGGTGGCTTAAGCATGTAATCCCAGCACCTTGGGAGGCCGAGCTAGGTCATCGCTTGAGGCCAGGAATTCGAGACCAGCCTGGCCAACATGGTGAAACCCCATCTCTACTAAAAATACAAAAATTAGCCAGGTGTGGTGGCACACGCCCTCTGTCTTAAAAAAAAAAAAAAAAAAAAAAAAAAAAAGAATCATCTGGAAGGAAGGAACGAGCTAATAATATTTATGGTAAAATATAACTTACACAGCATGTCAGAGAAATAGTGCTTTCAGTAAAAATCGATGGGTTAACAAAGCTATAATAACCAAAGAGATATATGGATTATACATGGAGCCAATTGGAAAAGACTTATTTCAGTAATTGGACTTCAGAAGTAGCAGCAATGGAAACTGCAATTAAATACAGCCTTTCAGATTAAATGTGTAAGCAAGGCCAGCCTGCGGTGCAGGGATGAGCTGGAAAAGGCAAGCACAGACATAACCAAAAGCAATTTAGCAAATGTTAAGGCATTTTTTTACTCCAAACTTTTAAAACTACTTTTTAAAAAAAAATCTCGTTTCAACTTAGAGATAACTAGAGCACTGTTCAGCTCTCAATTTACTCTGCTAAGTGATTAATTCAGTGATATGAAGTTTGTAGTTTTCATTCTCCAAGTTCAGAACCACTTCTAATCTCTTACACTTAGAGTTAAAAAAGAAAACCCAAACCAGAAAATAACTGGTATTTGTCACGAATTTCTGAAGGCTTTCTAACATGGTGATAAATTTCAGAACATGTATTCTTTGCTTAAAATTATTTAATAAAACCTTAACTCTGGGTTACCATCAGGTCCCTTGCAAAGTATTAGTTTAACACTCAAATTTCAATGGGTTTGGTCCCGGTTATGAATCGATAATTTGTACTAATCTGCAGAAAGGTCACTTTTAAAGCTTTCCATTTTGTGAAGTTTCAGATAGTGCAGTTTTTAACTAATCTTACTACAGTCTTCTTTTCACTTGAAATTCATGCTTGAATTTAGAACTTCTCCAATAATGTCATATTTTGGGAACTGTGTCTTATTCCATTCAAGTATTCTGACTATGAATGATAACTGTTAAGGAGCGTAGGAAATGGTGGGAAACCTGTGCTGACTGGGAACCTCAAAGGGTGTGCTTCTTTAAGTTTTAGAAACAAAATGGAATAGGTGGAGTTTGACCAGCTGGATGTTAGCTCCCTGGTGCTTCACTGGCAACACCATAAAGTAATTAATTAGTGTTCTTATGGTCACATTTCTTCACCAACAATTAAGAGTTATGACATCCTTTGACGCTGTGTAAACAGTCCTTCTCCCATCTGACAGATGAGGTAACTAGGAGAAGAAGAGAATGTACCTTGCCCAAGGTCTCAAGGGAGCCTGCAATCAGACCTATGATTAGAGTCCAAGTGCTGTTGCCTGTCCTATATTCAGTTGGCAAGCTGAACCAATGCCTTCCTTTAATCTGAAATTTAAAATCTAGCCATCTATAAATCAAATTTCACCTCCTCTATATTCTGTGTTGTTTCTCCAATCACTTAGGTCTATTTCAGCTGTGCCTGCGATGACCAATTCCAGTTCTCTTGCATCAAATACAGATACCAGCCTGGCATCCACCACCTGTGGAATAAAAAGAGTACAAGGCATGGCTTAGGAGCCTGGAGAAATATCAGCTATAATTAAGTCTTAGAAAAAGGGACACATGGAGTTTCAGGAATAATATGTGTACCTTGCACTGGCACTTGAAAACCTGTAAAGCTCCCTACAAATATAAGGCATTCTTTAGTATAAGGTTGATGAGATTTGCCTCGACAGAATTTTTGTTTTATAACTGACTGCTGATTAATCTAGGTCCCGTCCACCTTTAGGAAAATACTTAAGTGTTTCTACAGAAAAAGCCACATACAATATGTGCCAACTCATTCTGACCTCAGATATAATTATTTCACGTAGCAAGCTGAGATTTGATTACCCGTATCTAAGCATAAGATGCATGGCTTAAATGTTACTAGTGGTCATTAAATCAACAAATGCTACTTGAGTTCAGTCCCTAACATTTATTTCAGTGATCTCTCGTAACAGTGAGTTAAGCTTCTTTTGGTGCTCTTGAAACATAAGGGAAAAAATATTGAACCTTTCGCATGGAGAGAGCAACAGTAAATACAGCAGAAATAGTCTACACATGTAAGTACAATAAGATGGATTGTGGCATTATTGATATCAGACTGCAAACTCCTCCTACTGCTGATTGTCTTTACCTCATAGAAGCCACGCACTAAACTCTCTGTTTGTTGTACAACACCCCTCTCAATCCTCCACTTCACCATCCTCTCGATGTACTCCTTCTTGTTCTTCTCTGTAACTGGGATATTGGCACCCCCAGGCTTTAATTCTCGTTCAGTTATCTGAGATTAAAAAATAAAAAGAATGACTATAAAGCAATACTCTTACTGTTATAAGAACATGACTAGCAGTGAGCTGAAATCAGCCAGCTACCTGTCCCCAGCCCTGCCCTAGGCACATCCCACAAGCTGGCAGTGAGGCCCCAGGCACTCATGGAGCACATGCACTCAGGAAAAACTAGGCATTGAGCTGGTGCTTGAAAGCTTTGGTGATTTTTATATATATATATTGCTGGTACTACAGGTTAAGTTTTAAAATGCAGACGAATTGGCTTCAGATACCAGCCTGCTACTATTTGAATGTTTGACAAAACCCATTTTCACAAATTTCTCAGAATTGACTATATCTAGAGTAAAGATTTACTTTAAAGAAGCAGAATTACACTCAAGTGAATGTTAAATTGAGAACTTTTTCAAAACACATGGAAATCAGAAAAGCAGCTAAAGATTAATGCCTAAATAAGAATATTACTTATAAACTAGTATATAATTTCTGGAAGAAATGTTTTCCCTACTCTTCCACCAATTATTGAAAAAAAAAAAATCAATATATTCTGTTTTTAAGTCTTCCCCAAAACATTGTTTATGTTCCCTTAGCTTCAAAAAAATCAATTTTGGTTTTTTTCTTTTCTTTTCTTTTTTGAGATAGGGTCTCACTCTTGTCCCCCAGGCTAGAGTGCAGTGGCATGATCCAGGCTCACTGCAGCCTCAACCTCCCCAGCTCAGGTGACCCTCCCACCTTGGCCTCCTGAGTAGCTGGGACTACAGGTGTGTGCCACCACACCTGGCTAATTTTTGTATTTTTTGTATAGACAGGCTTTCACCATGTTGCCTAGGCTGGTCCTGAACTTCTAGGCTCAACTGATCCTCCTGTCTTGGCCTCCCAAAGTGCTGGGATTATAGGCATGAGCCACCGTGCCCAGCCACCATTCTATAAATGGAATTTAAAAATTCTGTAGCGTGGACTTCAAAAAAACTGCATTCTATATAAGGTAAATTCTCATATTTTAGGGGATATTTTAGTTGGAAATAAAAAGAAGATTGCTTACAACATGAAAGGTTATCACCATCTGTAATTTACAGCATCTTAATCTGCAGCTGACATTAATTCTAACCTTTGTAACTGCAATTATTATAACTGTGTGTGATCTGGAGTTTAAATCACCCAATAAACCACAAATAAATAAGCATCTGATCTTAGCCATGGAGTTAATTCTTCACTCGTCAATAGCCTTCAGTTACCACACTTAGGCACCAGGTGTGCAGATACACACACCTGCCCAAATACTTCTTCGTTCACAGTGAACGTGAGGTCTAGGATGTCATGGATATCATTGTCTTTCATCCACTGCAGGCTCTGATGGAACTCTTCATCAAGGTATTCTAGATCACTCAGGTCACATAGACTAAGATGACAAACAGACAGAAACAAATATGTAGGCATGGCTATTAGCAAAAACCCACAGTAATAAGGAAAGAAACTAAGAATTAAAGAGAAGAACAAGAGCCACTACATGGGCAGTGATTTCTGGAATGTTCTTAGTCCAAGTCCAGTAATTAAACCAGTGAAATAATTCAGAAATTTGTTATAAAATTAGAAAGTCCTAAATATATAATATGCCACAGGAATCATTCAGCCTGAGTCTGTCTTTATAGACACAGAACTGAAGGTGCAAAGAATGAGGGCCATCTGCGCAGTCATCCATCATCAATGCCAGATCAGGAACTGGCACTTGGCTGACAACTGGGATCCAGTATTCTTTCTGGCTATATTATGCTACCTTAAAATACTGTTATCTTAATTTGAAATAATTTATATATTTCTATAGTATATTTTAATTTTGTTTTTTGTTGAAAGACATGATTTTTATTTTATTTAATATTTATTTTACTTTATTATTTTATTTGTTTTTTTATTAAAGACATGATTCATGTTCACATACATTCCCTTTTTCTTCATGGTTCTTACTCTGAAAACAGTAGGCCACAGAACCTGTCTTCAATCTGTATTTCTCCCCCACATTTTTTAATTGCAGAGAAAGAGTCTACATTAGGTATAGTTACTGTTCCATGGCCCTGTTGTACAGTGGTAGTCATTAATTTGCCATAGCTGTTTTGAAATTTCACTCCCCTAAGCCCAATTTCAAGGGTCATTTTTTTCAGTTCAATCTGAACATTCATTAGGCATCAAGCATGTACCAGACATCTGAATAGCTACTTGATGAATAGTCACTACCCTCAGGAGCTGATGGGCTAACTGGGGAGCCAGGTACACAAATAGATAAGTTAATACAAAGTGATAAGTGATAACATAAGATTGGTAACATTTAAAATTCATGTACTTTTTAAATGTATGTCACATTTCCATTTAACAAAAGAAGGTAGGGACAGGGATTTAGCTGTCAGAGCACACACAAGGGCCATTTTCTTTGACTGAGAGATTCAGGAAAAGCTTTTTGCAGAAGATGATGCCTACATTAAATCTTTCAGGATGTTTAAAAGCAAGAGAGGTAAAAAGGAATAAATAAAGTAGGAGAAGGGGAAAGAGAAAGGAGAGAGAATAACATGAACAAAATACAAAGGCATGGAAGTGTACAGAGAACTCCAAGCATATCAGCAGTTTGAGAGAGTTAACCTCAAGACAGAATTTCTAGAGAATGAGACCAGCAAGGCAGCAGGCCTTAATGTCATCCTAAGGAGACTGGTGATTTAGAACTACTAAAAGATTAGACAGGGCATGGCATGATCAGAAGTGAAATGTGAATTATAAACACACAAACTTCCAGCTCCTCTGGAAGTCCCAGTGTGAAGGATTATTTAAAATGGGGTGGGATGAGGGGTCATTATCATTAGAGGGTAGAGACCAATGAATAGACCCCTACAATAATATGGCCAAAATAAGATAAGGGCTCTAACTAGGGCTGGGCTATTAAGGTTGGAGAGAAGAAGATCAATTTGAAAATCATTTAGGAGGCAAACATGTAGCAATCATAGAATAGTTTTATTGGGGGAGTATAAAGAAGGATATCTAAAATAGGGGTGACAAATGAACTCATGTCAAAACTAACTATAATTAATTGCCAAGCTTGAGCACTATCCGTTAAAAAGATTTCTAAGACCACAATGAGTTCAGTGGGAAAAAGTACCACAGGTGATTTGTGAACTCTACCCTGGGAATGATGGGGTAGAGTAGAGATGGTGAAGAGTAGAACATGTACTGTGTATTTGTCATCGCTGTTTAAGGGTGACTCCCAATTTCTGACCAGAGTGGCCTGAGAATAGTGGCACTATTAACTGTAACGGGGCCTGTGGGAGAAGGTATACTTTTAAGTAGGGAAACTTGATGAGCTTAGTCTTAACCATGTTGATTCTGAAGTCCTTGTAAGACATCCGAGTGGAGTCTGATGGATTGTTGAGCATGTGAGGCTACACCTTAAGGGAGATCAAGACTGAGAGTACAGATTTGAGAAACAGAGGAGATAAGACAGGCAAAGAAATTCCCCCCCCGCCATGAGGGCATACTGAGTGAGAAAAGCAGGGGCCCAATGACAGAAGCTTCAGTTATACCAAGGGTTAAGGGCAAATCAGAAGAGGGGCTCATGAAGAAGACAGAAAAGTTAAAAAAAAAAGAGCCCGCACAGTACAGTGTCACAGATGCCAGCTCTGGAGAAAGGACGCAGGAATAAATGGTGGTTGGGGTGGGTGGTACACAGTGTCAGAAGTAGCAGCATGATCCAATAAGATACAGACTAACCAGTATTCTTTAAATGCCTCCACAGGTTTTCTGGTGGGAAAGAAACCAGGCTGAAGTGTGTTGAGAGTGTGAATTTGAGGTAAGTGTAGACAGTCAGTAGAGACTAGTCTTTCAGGAAGCTTAAATGAGAAGATAAGGGATAAGGCAATGAAATGGGAAGATGCAAAGTGGCCACAAAGAACCAAAGTGACAGAAAATGGCACCTGTTTCCCAGTGCTACAGCTGTGAAGACACTGAAAGACAGGAAGGCAAAAGTCTTTCTACTGACCCTCCCAAGGGCCCACAAGAAGCATTTTGTTTGCTTTCATTTGAGGTCTAGGCTTCCATTTTACAGTAAGCAGGTACGTGGCCTCAGTTAGGGAATGGGCTGGACAGAGCCAAGTGAGAATTCAGTGAGCTCTCATTGCAGATTTGAGCTACTATCCCACAGGCCGTTGCCTTCTGTTCAGCCTTGTAAATGGCTGCTGATTATAGGACAGAAACAATTAGCCCTATATTTTACAATAATCGCAATCTTTCATTAACAACGAAGAAAAAGTTCTGTGAATGCTGAATTTTCATTTTCCACAATAAATTACTAAGGTCATAGAGAAAGTTTAAGAAACATATGGCACTGTCCATCCCTGACAAACAAATAAAAAATAAAACCAAAGCAAAGGAAAACAAAGATTTGAATGAGGAGTAAGCATTTGAAAATTTGCATCAAGCCAAACACAAAATGTATCTCATAAAGGAGAGGGGGCTGTGAGTCACTAAGACTAACCCACAACTATTCTATTAATAATCTGCATTAACACCACAGGAATTCCAGGGCTGCATTTGAAGTACAATTGTTTTAAAGAAACATGCGTTGCAACAAATGAGAATAGATTTTGGGGGATAGAGCAAAACTAAAACTCTGGGGGCTAAATAGGTCAGAGGCAGGAAAAACACAGTAATCGTATTTGAAATTGTATTACTTTCAGAAATCTAAACCACTATTAGGTTTAATAACAGATTTGAGATTGTGAACAGATAAGCAATGACTTTGACAGAATTTTTTCAATAAAGTAAATACTGTATTTTACATGCTAATTACACAAGTGATAAAAATATTCTTACATTCTGAGAAGAGCCTTATAAAAGGGCCGTGTGAAGAAGGCATCCAACAAATACTGGTGTATTAGTGCAAGACCAAGGATCCTACCACTGAATCGGAACCTGTGAAGGAAACGCATGAGATGACTTACACGTCATGGAGCAGTTTCTAGGTGGTTCCATATGCTTTCTAGAATGCCTTCCAGCTCTAAGCATCTAAATTTTTCCAATATTAATTGCCTACTAGGTTGTGAGAGTTTGTATGCACCATGGGCTGGGTCTTCATCAGGCCAGTGATATAGTTTGTATACTTGTCCCTGCCCAAATGTCATGTTGAATTGCAATCCCCATTGCTGGGGGTGGGGCCTGGTGGGAGGTGTTTAGATCATGGAGGCTGATCCCTTATGGCTTGGTGCTATCTTCGTGATAGTGAGTTCTCAAGAAATCTGGTCATATAAAAGTGTGTGGCACCTCCCCCCAACCTTCCCTCTCTCTCTCTCTCCTGCTTTTGTCATATGATGTGCCTGCTTCCCCTTTGCCTTCCACCATGATTTAAAAAGCTCCCTGAGACCATCCCCAAAGCCCAGTGATTTGGGTGCTATGCTTCCTGTACAGCCTGCAGAATCATGAGCCAATTAAACCTCTTTTCTTTACCAGTCTCAGGTATTTCTTTATAGCAACGCAAGAATGGACTAATACAGCCAGTAATTCGTACCTACTTGCTGAAGAATCAGTTTCACTCATATTTAGAGACCCTGCTCCACCTTCACTCCATGTCAGCAATGTAGCACCCCACATTCATGAATCCCGTGTGAGCATTTCAGTGACATTTCCCCAAACCAATTCTAAGAGATGTTGACAGATGAGACCTCTGGAAGTGGGGAAAATGCTATCCCCTCCTAGTGTGTATGCATGAATATTAGCAGGATTTTTCTAACACAAACTCAGTAGCAATTCTCTTCTGAGGAAAGGCCCAGTCTCAGATTAAGAAAGTTCCTATCTCTATTCTCTATCAAGCCCCATTCCTGATATTTTCACCATTCAAGAATTATGCACATGGACATTTGGGGGGGTTTCTTCTGGGACATTCTGTTCTCTAAAATGTCAAGACTCAATTCTATTCTGAATCACTTTGGAAACTTTATTAACATATTTGTTATGACTGGATTTGCTGCCTGAGATGCAAACTTACTTTCTCTTTCAAAAGGGTTCAAGTTTCTAGCTCTTTGAAAGTCTGATGCCTTCCAAAAGTGTAAATCCATACTGAGTTCGTACTGTAAGTTTGTAATTTTAGTATTAGGCAGCCATTTTAAGAACAATGTCCAGCAGTATGGTTCCTCTTTATTTCCATTTATTTAGCACAACTGTAATAGTCACAGTTAGAAGAAGGACTCCAAATTGCAGCTAAACAGATGTTCAATTTGAAGAGTAAGTCCTAAAAGATAATGCCCTCCACCCACCAATATTAATCTCATGATTCAAATATGCTTTTTCCATGAATCCTGCTCATATTCTTTCCTTTGTTGCTATCAGGGAAAATGAACAGGAACAAGCAAACAGGGGTTATACAAATATTTACAGTCTATAAACGCAGAGATTTAAAAAAGATGTAAGGACATTTGGAAAGAGTGCAATTTGGGATTTTCAGCATAAATAATCTTCAGATGGGAATCCTAAATCAGTTTCCTTGATTTTGTGTGAGAAATTAGGAAAGAGGGAGGCAACACCTGGTTACAAACTTCGAATGGCTAATACGGTAAGTGGCCACTGCTTGTGATTCCCCACTCCTGCCCTTCTACCGTCAATGCCCCCAGGTCACCCCACCAGCCCCACTGCCCTCTAGAGCACCATCATCGCCACAGTTGAGAGTCAGAGCCCCAGCCAGAGTTCCAGCTGCCCCATCTTCTCCTCCCATGGCAGCCACTTCCCCAAGGGCTGCTCTAGAGGCTGTCTGATTTTTGGATCAGGCCTTCCCCTCCTCACCCCCACCTCAGCTTAGAGCTCATAGGCACCCAAAGGTACAGCGAGGAATACAGGGATCTCACCAGGAACTCATCATCTTTTTCTTGCAATGGGAAATACCTTTTGAATTCTACCCAACTCACTTGAATCGATCTTATGGAATACATCAATTCCCAGCTATCAACAGATCTAGTCCTAGCTTGGAGACTGACTACGTATTTAAATTTGACAATAAAAACAAGAGTCAAGTGAGGTATTTAACTGAAAATATGATTTTGCCCAAGGGAAAAAATGTTTTAATGTGTAAATGTGGGTTCTATAAAAAAAAAAAATCATAGAAAATCGCCTGAAGAAGTGTTGGGGAAAAAATACTTACCATTCATGGTGATTGTCTACAAAAGCAGACATAGGACTTATTTGTACTGTGTATGTGTCATTGGCTGAATATTCAAATAAGCCATAATATGGGTTAAAGAGTTCTCTGGATACCAGGAAGAAAAACTCTCTGGAAGGCCCACTGTAATCCAGCCTGTAACAAAAATCCACAAAAAGAATAATCTGTTACTTTTTTTCTAGATATTGGGCACTTTTTCTCCAGAGCTCAAGTTTTCATAGGATGCTCATTACAAATCTAATTGTCCACATGCCAGAGCTGTCCAAAACAAACTGAATGATCATAGTTTCTGATCTCATTGTGTCTTGATCCAGATTAGTAAAATGGACATTTATGTGGAACACACCTAAAACCAAGCCACACATCATACAACAGGCAATATTCTAATACATACAATAGGCAATCTGCTAATATTTTGATTATGTAAATATGTATAAAGAGGTAAATCTTTCAAATGTCAGGAGCAAGCTTATACAAAAAGGGAGCACAATGAGAAAGCTTCATTTAAACAGGGTAAAACCAGGGGGAATCAGTTACATATGCTCACAGGACATGGAGTCCTCATGGATGTCTGAAACATTGTTAAATGGGAGAAGAAAGAGACTTCTGTGAATTCGAGATAAGACATTACAGATACAAGTCCCCTTAGGAAGATCAGTAGCAAAAAATGGAGTGATAGGGTGCAAATGAAAACTTTAAATGATAAAACACCAAGGAAAACTACAGACAAGAAAAATGAGGGTGCCTAAAGCTTCCTAAGGAAGGCGTTTGGAGAAAGAGGCTGAAACTCGAACACCCGAGCTACGGTATAAATTCTACTTTACTCACAAAGATGTCAAGGTCAAATTGAAGTAGAAGAAAAGATTGTGTGAGGTCTGAGGAATGACAAGTGGCCAAAAATGAAGACAGTAAAAAAACGCAAAGTAAGGAGGAGTTTGCAGTAAAGCAATGTGATGTGCTCAATTTAAAATGAAAAATATAAAGTACATCGACCCTATGGATAAAAAGTATACACGTGGGCTCAAAGATAGGGAAGGAATGCTGAAAAGGGAATGAAGACAACTGAGAAGCTGGGGTGGAGGAGGGATTGTGAAAGACTTTTCTTCTCCTTCTTCTTCTTTTCTCTATCTTTTTTCTTCTTTTTGATTTTTTTTCTGTGGGTATCATTGCATTTTTTTAAGAAAAAAAATCTGAGTCTTGTTTAGTGATAGGATTGTGTGATGGAGAAAAAAATGGATCCTAGGCCGGGCATGTTGGCTCATGCCTGTAATCACAGCATTTTGGGAAGCCAAAGCGGGAAGATTCATTGAGTCAAGGAGTTTGAGATAAGCCTGGGCAACATAGTGACACAGTGAGACTCCTGTCTCTACAAAAAATAAGAAAAAATTAGCCAGGTGTGGTGGCATGTGCTGGTAGTCCCAGCTACTTGGGAGGTTGAGGCAGGAGCATCTCTTAAGCCCAAGAGTTTAAGGCTGCATGAGCTATGATCACATCTCTGCACTCCAGCTCCGGCGATGGAGAAAGAACAACAGCAACAAAAAGGATACCACAGGCAGAATATAAATAAAAATGGTTTACACAGAACAGACTTCAACTATTCATACTACTTTCCCAATTTTTGTTATATCTGAATATATATGTACTATTATTAATTTAATATTTTTCATTAAATCAACTTTAGATCTATTTGCTTTTTAAATAAAACTTTGTCTTACACAATCTTTATAAAGTTTTGATGTGCTAACTATTGTTTCCCAATATACCTTAAGATGAATACATGAATATTAAAATAAAACACATCAGTCTTTGTAGTAGCTAAAATCATTTAACATATCACCAGTGGTATTACAATCCTCACACCCATACTGTGCTGATAGGAAACTTTTGTGTAAAGAAAAATGCAAACAGCAGACTCCGAGGGCCAGAGAGGCTGTAGGTGACACAATGGACCTGCCCGCTGGGGCGGCTGAATGTAACATGCTCACAGGTGGCTCCCAGGATCGGTGGGACCATCCTCAGGTTACTCTGAGGACTCCCAAAGCAGTACCCTGGCTGCCTCCTCAGTGCAGGGATGCACAGACTACCTGTCCCTCCTTATGCTGTGACGAAGGCGGCCTTTGTGGCTTCCTCCCGTTGACCTACTTCTGGCCTGTGACACCGCCAGGAACAAGTAGAATACTTCTTCCACTTGAACCTTCTTTACATACTCAGAGACTTTCTTTCAACAAAAGTCTGTGTGCTGATTACATATGGGGTACTAATCTAGATCCTAAAGATGTAAAATGTTTTGAAAGTCATTTTCCATCAGAGCTCTAGGTTTAGCAGTTTCCGTCTCCTGGTCTCTGCCTCCTTCTCTCCCTTTCCCACTCCTGAGCATGGCCACTTCCTTCAACCTTCTCTCAGGGCAGGGGTAGGAATTCCCTCTCTACCCTGGTGTCAGTAAAGACTTGATGGTAACACTCCAGGTGAGGTCTTCTCAGCATAGAGCTTAGAAAATCTTCGACACTTTTCTCCAGCGATGCTGGTTTAACTTATCCTGCCTTTGGGGCAGCCACTTTACTTTGTTGAATTACAAGGTGCTAGTCATCAGCTAAAGCCCCAAACCTTTCATGTATGCTGCTTTAACCCAGGACTCCCCCATCCTGTCTGCATGTAGCTGCATCTTTTAAAAGCCTTAGTATGGACGGGTGTCATGGCTCATGACTGTAATCCCAGCACTTTGGGAGGCCGAGGCGGGCGGATCACGAGGTCAGGAGATTGAGACCATCCTGACCAACATGGTGAAACCCCGTCTCTACTAAAAACACAAAAAATTAGCCGGGTGTGGTGGCAGACGCCTGTAGTTCCAGCTACTTGGGAGGATGAGGCAGGAGAATGGTGTGAACCCGGGAGGGGGAGCTTGCAGTGAGCCGAGATTGTGCCACTGCACTCCAGCCTGGGCGACACTGCGAGAGACTCCATCTCAAAAAAAAAAAAAAAAAAAAAAAAAATCTAGCTTACAATATCCTAGGGTGTACGCAACCTCAAGGAGTGGGTAGACTAAGTGTGAGGCACAGAGTGAGCACCGGTCAGCTATGGTCATTCTCTGTGAGGTTTTCAGACACAATAAAGCATACAATGGATAAGGTCGGAGACAGCTGAAACATGAGGCAAATACTTCAGGAGTCAGTTTTCTTACAGACAACTGGTAAAAGTAAAATAGGATTTTGCCTGCTTAAAATTAAACTGTGGCGTTCAGTTAGAAGTATCAGGGTTTCTTTAAGCTTTAACTCTGAGTATTTTAATAATACTGCACTTACAAAGTGCATTACAATTATCTGTATATGTGCCTGCCTCCCCTATACATACGTACTAGTCTATAACTACACTGGGGGCAGGGACCATGTTTTACTCATTTTTATATCCGTACCTAGCCTGATACACAGTGCGGGCTCAATATATATTGTTGAATCAATGAGTGGAGCTCTTTGATGCTTTCTGAAGAAAATCAACGTTGCTTACATTGTTATTCGGTATCTAGCAGATTTGCACATTTGCCTTTGAGTGGTATATTGATTCAATGACATGAACAGGTTATGCCAATCCCTAAAAGATTGCTCAATTTGAAAACATTGTCAGAAATCAACAAGTAAATTATGCTTAGAAAGTTTAATATGTAAAAATCTTCTCATGTGGTAAAGTTTGCTAAAACAACAAAGACTGACCTCACTGATTAGTTCCCTTTTTATGATAATAGCTGAATCTGGCTGAAGATGAGATGACTGTTCCCTGAGGAATTAAACTGAAAAGGAAAAGTCTTGTTTTCCCAAGCAAAAACAAAGCTAATAGTTCTTCTAGGAGAAAATGTATCTTCAACTGGTCAAGTTTTTAGCTGCTGACTTTTAACTCTAGAAGCACTGATGGAGTCACCTCTAAAGCCAAAATAGTCTTAAACTTTGATTTGATTATAATCCAAAGCCTAGAACTGCCTATCTGAGAGCAGGTTGTAGATTACAATTTGTAAATAAGCCTGGCTAATTCAGTAAAACATGTCACAGCAGGGTACATCATGCCTTTGCTTCCTGTAATGTCTTAGCAACCTCTTTCATATAAATAGTTAATATGACTCATATCACAAGGATTGTCTGTTACATTCCTGTTTTGCCAGTTAGGTTGGTTCCACAGCTAAAGCCTTGGCACGGAAATGTAAAAACTCTGGACAACGGGTGTGTAGCCGCACAACAGCTGCATCTGAGGGCATTTCCGAATAAGAACAGATGTCTCCAGGGGGTGGCCATGTAGTCTAGAGCCCCAAGTGCTGATAGAGCATTTTAAACATCATCACATGGCTCGGATGGCACTCCACCCAAGTTGTCGGTGGCACCCAAAGTTTGTTAAAATAACAAATTTTATTATCTCATTCTTTATTTTCAACTAAGAATTACTGAAAACTAAGTATTCTAATGAAAGCAGACTATAAAATGAAAGAAGATGATGGCCTTGGGAAGTCACACCATCACTTCCTTCAAGTTGGTTCAGGCACACACGGCTTACACACCTTCTGATTCACTCTTAGATATTTATAGTAGCAAGGAGTTAGTTCTTGAGCCAATTAAGAAAGCCTGGTAGGTGAGTAAGGAAGTTTGATATGATAAACAAAGTCTTACCAGGTGCTACCAAACCAAAGCCTAGACACAGAAGCACCCTTCTTTAGAAAGGTTTGGGCAATTTAGGTTATCCTGCAAATGTCTCTTTTTGGAAGAAAAAAAAGCAAGACCATAAAGTGTACCTTGAAGCTTCACAGATTTCTGAGAAATTAATGACCAAGCTCAGGGCCTCAAAAAGCTTCTAGTGAGGATCTGACCAGTCATATGTAAGAACTGGCTGGTTACTTTATAAGCAGAGACTGAAGAAAACTCTTTCAGATCTCATCTTCCCCAGTTGCTTTCATTTGCCTGTCTCAGGGGGTTACAGAAAGCTCAAAAGGAAGATATTACAGGAAGTTCTTAAACTCCCAAACGAAAACTGCTTGTGCACATCTCCTCCCTAGTCAAAGTGTGGCTCTGCAAGACATGATTGATGTCATATTGATGGCACCTCACACATAATAAACTCATTCTTTCTTTAAGAAAGGTGCCTTTTACAGGGTTGGCTAT